TCCCTCCATAACCTCATATATCCTTGTCTGTTGAGATAACAGGTTATTTTCACCTCTCCGCCTCCCCAGGATGCTGCAAGGGAAAATATGTTAAAGACCAGGAGAAGCTCCAACACTACCAACCAACTAAGTAGCATCTAGAGTATGAATCGCTTGGCCTACCGGAGGCTAAAATTGGCCCTCTACTCATCCTGGCTACATGGTGAAGTCACCCCATACAGTGTCAAGTCTGGCTTACTTCAGCGCCAGACAGCTCAAGGTTTGCTTGTGGCTACACAAGTCACATCTTCTTATCTTCGATGCCAGCGTCTGGGAACCCGTGGCATGTAAAGCTGTTCCCTGAGGCAGTGGCAGTTCCCTGGGCAGGTAGTCCTTGCCTGCCCCTCTCCCCAGGCAGTCAGGACACCATGTACAAACTCATTTAAACACTGAACTCTCGAGTCCTGGAAGAAGCAGCGTCTCTTCTCCCTTCCCAAAGGAGCTTTAAAAGGGCATGAGAGTTGGGCACCACAGCTGCAGAAAAGCAGCAGCAGACAACCTGAGAATGGACATTAGAAGTGTGAGCAACAACACTGCAAACTGGGGTACAAAACACAGGTGGGAAAGGACTGTTAAATGGAGAGAAGAAAAGGTTTGGTAGGGATGAAAGCCACAGAAGAAGGGACACAGACAGTCAGATTTTTAAAAGCTCCAATGCAGATGGATATTTGAACACCAGGCTGCCAATCTCAGATCTTTGAAATACCTAACCCCACTGCAAGGGCTTGAAAAACCTGCCTTTGTGCTCAGCAGCAGAGATGGGGTGAAGAGAACAGAACAAAGAGAAGGAGCCATAATTCAATCAATCCCAACTCTTGAGAGTGGTGGGAAGATGCTCCATGTACTTGGCCTTCAGGGTGTTGATCACCCACGGTACCACATGCCTTCATTGGGAGCCGAGAGCTCCCAGCACCCATCAAATGATGCATGGCACTTCCCAGGATCAGCCCCCAAATGTTTCTGAGATCACACGAGCTTTGCTGCATGCCTGGGAGTTTTACAAATGCAAATGATGAGCTAATATTATAATTGAATTTCTGATTCTCTTACAAATCTTAACTTCGTTAAACTGATTGTATTTTGGGGGGAAAACATATCAGTTAGTATCCATGCTGATTACTGTATTTCCTGCTCATGTAGCATTTTAAATGGATTAAAGTCTTCCTATACCATTATTCAGAATTCATAAACAAAATCAGGACACTCCTCAGTTCAACGACTGTCAAATAACGGGGACTATTCATTTCCACCGATAGCAAGAAGGTTCACAGAAGCATCTCCCGGTCAGACAAAGGGCCGCGAATCCATTGATCAAAGCGTAACCCTGCTCCGTATGTTTTATTCTCCTCTCACAAGTCAAGCACTGTCCCTCAAATGGCTGCTCCCTTGCACACAGCAAATAAACAACACAGAGCAACTCATTTTCATCTCAGAGGATTGGAAATCATCCTAGACTTGTTAAATCTGTTTAAAAAAAAAAACAAACATCAAATGATGTTAGGGATTTAACTTATTCCTTTGATCTACTTAAACATTAAGGCATTTTGTACTCTGCTGCCTCCCTTGTTACCAGCCATGCTGGCCCTCATCCTGCACTTACACAGCTGCTCGAGCACCAAGCACACGTGCAGTCTTGTTGGCTTCCACAGAACTGGCCGTGGACTGAATCGGGTGCCGTGGCTGCAGGACCGCGACCTTGGTATGCAACGCCAGCCACGGAAGGCCTTGAAAACACTTGTGCAAAAAAGACACAGGCTCTAAACCCACCAGCGACTCTGGCTTCCAAGGGACTGCCCCACGGATACAGCAAGCTGGTGTGCTCTGCCAACTGCAAGATCAGGCCAAAGCTGAGAAGGGAGAAGACATCCTGAACCAAAATGTCCTACTTAAAGCCACATCAAGTGAGTAAAGGAAAAAACAGACAAAAAACAAACAAACAAAAAACCCAGATGCTGCTTTTTTCAGATGACTGCACTCCTATTTGGGGTATGAACAGAAAAGAATAATCTCACAGGCTTTGGAAAAGCTTGCATAGTTATGTAAGTACATGTACATACACATGCATATAGATATCTAGAGAGAGATCTCTCTATACACAGCACTGTTCAGAGGGTAGTGGAGGAGTCTTTTTTTTTTTTTTCTTTTTACACATGTAAAAGGACAGGCTCTCTACTGCTCTGAAGTGCCTGGGTGACTGTGCAAGGGAGCAAATCGGGACAAAACAGCTGCAACATCCAAGCTGCAGATTTAGGAAAATGCTCAGACTGAAGCACGTAAAAATCTATTTCCATTTTTTCCTCTTTAATGAAAACAAGAACCTCTAGGCTTTATAGAAGTGTTAGCCACCTAGCCCAAGATGGATTTAAAATGAGGACATTTGGTTCATTTAAAACACACCAACTAAGGAAAAACAAAGAAGGCAACTGTGTTTTGTTAGATCTGCTTGAGAGAAACATCAGTCCATCATGCTGAATATTGCCAAGTTCATCCCTGCATTCGAACACAGGCTGCCCCACATTTTGGTTACTGTTGACGAGGCTACACATCAAGGTAAAACTGGACGTCTTAAAAAAAACACAAGCAGAAACTTTGGTTTTCACTCCCTAAGCAAAACCACATTTTGAACATTAAAGCTTTGATTTCTGTCAAAAAGAGACTAAAATGGGCCCTATTTTAAAAAGGCCTAATGCTACAAAAGTCACACAAAACAGACTGCAGCAATCAGGGGTCACCTGGGACTTCACAGCTGTCACTACCCTGCACACTACGGATGCAGGAAATGCCAGTAATTTCTTACCACAGCCCAGGCTCCTATGATCTGAGCTGAGCAACATTCGTTCTCTCTTTGCTGCATAAGGTCTGCAACATGCAGCCAGCCAGACCCAGTTTTGCCCAGTTTCACCCGGTAGTGATCACTAGGAATACACCACACAAGGCATTCCTTGACAATGTTTGCTGCTCTCTTAAATAGTACCAAAACTCATGCCAACGCCAGAGCCAAACATGTGCCTTCGTCCTTCATACCAGGCACACAAAGGCGGCATTAAAAAATCCCACAAAATATCCTATTTCTTTGTGGCCTTGGAGATCTTGAGATACTGTGCACATCCTGCCAACTAACTTGCTGGTCTAATAGCAGCACAACACGAAGGAAGCGTCTCAGGGCTCCATACTGGCAGCGAGGTCTGAGCGCTCAGCTGTGGGGGAGCAGGACTGACTCGCCTCGTTTTTCAGCAAATGCAGGAACTGGAACCGTGGGTCTGCTGAGGGCTCTGCTTCCAGCCCTCTTTTGCCAATGGTCAAGCCACCATTACCAGAGCCTTTGAGAGGAAGAACAGGGGAAAAGGAGTAGTGAGCCTTCAGGGCATCCTACACGGGGCAAAACAGATTCCAGTCCTGCAGAATCACTTCCCAGCAGAGGCAGAAGCTACATGAGATTTGGGTCCGGGATCGAGGGGGGATTGAAAGTGAGCAGAACTGCCCTGAAATCACCAGGGAAAGCACTGCAGAGGAGCACCCCCATCCCCTCTCAGTCCACAGCAAACTGCTGACGATGCCGTTTGGCCCGG